TATAAAGAAGTGATTACATCCTGGAATTGATCCAGTCATATGCAGCCAACTCAGACCATTGGAAAGCCCAGAAAGCCCAGTTTCTAGAGTGCTAAAGATCACCAGCACCAGTACAAGCCTCCACAGACATTGGCAAACCCGAGCATTCTCCTGCAATGGTTATTTAGCTATAGGATATTTAAGGCTTCAAGAAAACATTRTTTATCTAAAAAATTATTTTTAGACTTAAACAACACAGAAGAAACTGGTAGCTTACTAGATAACGGCCCTTACAACCCCAACATGGCTCTTCTAATAAGGAGAATCACTTTCCTCTTTTCTGCTAACCAAATTAAACACTGTCAGCAATTCAAAATCCATATATTCCCAAACAGATAAATACAACACATTCTATGTAAATACGCAATGAAACTTTCATACTCACTCTTGAAAATACTGTTTGCAATTTAAAGATATTTTTTAAATGGTGCTCTATCAAAGAAAAAGGGAAAACAAAAATGACTCTCYTGTGGAGTTTCACACCCTCATCAATTCAACTTCAAAGTAAGGTCTTATATTCAAGAAAAAAATAGCACTTGTGATCAGTGCAAGCTTTTCACATTATTTTTCTCCTGACAACTATATTTAAAACAGTATAATCTTAAAAGAGGATGAGAAAACTTTTGATGCACTGTTAACCAGTAGGTCTATATTAAAAAGTTCCATCATATTTAAGATGGGAATTTGGAACAGATCTTCAGTGATTTCTCCTGTTACTAGTAGTCACCAGTTTAAACACATGAAAGAAATTTATTAGTTTCCTTAATTTTCAGATAACTGAAGAAAAATCCACTCACTGGTTATACTCCATGAGCATCTTCACATACACTGTCTTAAAGCAGAACAGTTCAAATGGAGCGGACCTGTAATTATCATCTAGTGCAACTACAATCTTAAAAAGAGCCTTAAAAATAAAAAATAAATGCCCCAAAGTCAACATACTACCAAACAAGTAGCTGTTTCATCAGTGAACTGGAAAAACTAGTTCAATTTGGTTCCTCTTTTGGCTAGTCTGATATGGCTTCCAGGAGTCCTGAACAGATTCAGAAAAGTGCCCAGAACAGCCTGCCCCTAAAATATAATGGCTATGGACGACTTCCAACATACGTGACTCCTAAATATTGCTCTGACCTGGGAGAAGAGTGTCTCTCTTTGCACACTGGTTCAACTCACAAGAATCCCGTGCAGTATCCAGTTTCTGTATTACACAAGGTAGTAAACATTCCAAAATAAAAATCAACAAGTTGATAATCACAGTAATTCCTGTTCCCTTTCAAAGCAATTTGAAGTGCTTTTATCATCATCATTCTCCTGCATATTTTAAGCCTGCATCAGAAATCTGACTAATCAAAGCCAGTTTCAATAATCTGCAGTATTTCTGTATAAAAAGGCAAAAGCACATCCTGTCAGCAAGATACTTATTAAAAAAAACATATTATTAGGTAAACTCTTTTGGAGTTCCACCCTGTATCTTGGAAACCATAGCCAAACTGATATGCACCCACATTCCCTCATATGCTGAGTAACTAAATTTATTTTTCTTTTGTAAAAATTTTTACTTACTGTTTCATAAGGTTTCCAAAATTACAGTCAGAACTGACTGACATATGTTTAATCCTTCATTATTGTAATTTTAATCTAAATTGCAGTTATTTTGGAGAAAACTTATTGTGTCAAATACAATTGTATCAGTTTTACAGCCTGGTTAATGTACATAGTCCTTCTTTCAGTATGCCTCAGTTGAAGTCASTCAGCGGATGTTTGAAAACATCTAAATAAGGGCTGTTATCACAGGAAAAACAAAACAACTTACAAATATCTTTGACATAAGAAGATGGAATAACCACCACAGAAGTCTATGTGAGAGAAATATAAGAGACATCTTCATTTATAGTTTCTACAATGAAATGTCAAATTTACTTTCTTGATTTCATATTAAAATTAAAATATAACTAGCTAACCGGCCACTGAACTCAGGGAAAAAAGGATTACATTTACTGATTAGTATTTCAACTTGGCTTCTCTGTAATTTTCCCTGGTCACTTCAATAATATGAAGTTTATTCTACAAAATGAATGAGGTTAAATGGCATTTCATAAATTAGTTATTTGGRTATTTTTGAAAATATCTATTATAGCTGTTATTTGAACTAATCATGACATTGCTTATCACTTACAGCACGCAGGATCTATAATATAATTTTTACCTAAGCAATGAATGGGAAAAAACCACATTAAATAATGTACAACATTTTGAAAAACTGAAGCAACTGCACTTCCCAACAATAAATATAACTAACATCTGTTGCAGAAACTGCTTGGCACTTACACAGTTTTGTGAAGAATTTTTGTTGTAGATAAATATTTTTCTACATTTTCTATTATGCACCACTCAACTCAGACATTTGCCTTAATTATAYTCCAAGGAGTCCTTTCACATCCATTAAAGAAAAGCAATTTGTTGCCTAAAAGAATGCATATATGCTTTTAAATTTCAACTGTGATTCATCTGTCTTCTGACACGTGAAAAAATCAAGCAATTTTTATAACTAATGGACTTCGTTCAGCAAAAATGCCGAATAAAGCTCTCAGTGCTCAACATACTATATTTATTAAATATTTTAGAATATATATGATTTTGATATAAGCAATGGTATCATCATTTTACTTTGATTCTACATATCAATAATGGGGACAACAGCACAGCAAAGTCTTTAAGAAAGCAATAAACTTCCATTTTAACATCGGTGCAAATGACCGACGAAGGCTTCTCCTTTGTATACACACCAAACACAGAACGTATTTTTCAGGGACAATGTAGCAACTTTGTGAAGGTCTCCTCTTTTTTTTCTTACTTTTAATTTTGTTTTCCACTATTCTTAAGCAAGGAATTTTAAAAAACACTGAGCTCTTTATATAGTTTTTTTCCCTGAAAATATGCATACGTTGTGCACATTTAACAAAATTGTTATATTCTGCATTTTATGCACACTCACATTAGCAATCAAGACCTGTCTGCTATGATAATAAACTGTAAGATTTTTTTTTCTAAAAGCATGCAGTAGAAACCTATTTAAATGCTATTGTAAGCACATAGAGATCTATTACCCTACTGAGATTTCAAGCAACTGGTAATGAAGAATGAGGTGAAACTGAGGGTACTGCCAATAAAAGAAAAGAAATATTAACTCTAAATACACAAAAATTTCAGTTCAGGCCCAAGTGGCTATCCACATGTGCTCAGCTGCAAAATGAGAGAGTTACAAGTATAATTTGCTGTAAAGCAACCAACTGGCAACGTATTCATTATTAGTCTTAAATGGGACAAGGAATATTTCTTAAATTTTGTTAACTATCAAAAATGTCACTTGACATTGAATCGCATCTGGCCACTTTAAAAATGAAAAATATCGTAAAATACTAAATACTTAAATCACATGAGAAATAGCACTTTTGTTGATGACAAATGTAATCTGTATTGCTCTATGAAAAAAGTTAAAGCCAAAGAAGGTAGATTATTTTTTTTGTGATAAAATCTAATCAGTGGTGTCTCAGGATACTATCATTTTTTACGTGGAAGGTTTAGGACTGCATGCTTTGCTTTTACGCTCTACAGTAAACTAGGCCAAATTATTAAACTTATATATCATAATCCATACTACGTTTTCTTTAAATATTCATTAGTTCTTTCTGGTTTTATATTAGCAAGGTCTAGAACTTACAGATACTATGTCTGCATCATTTTAGTTTACCTATTATTGTAACTTGATATATTAAATCCAAATTCCTAATGCTTTCCCTTTTTCCTAAGAATAAATTCTCAGAGGAAAGAACCAACAATTTAATAAAACATTTAACAGTGAAGTTTACATAGCTCTCACTTAATCTCTTGTGATACTAAAAAGACTGCTATACTCCAGTACCATTTACACCACTTTTTAACACATAATAAGCTTAATTTCTTTTGACTAAGAATGGAGGCATAAATAGCAATAAAGAAGACTGTATGTTCAACTATACTGGACTAAGAGCAGCTATTCTACAGCAGTTTGTTCTCTGTTGAAAGCCTGAAAGTTTGTAGTTTAGACAAAGAAAATCTAAGAAAGAATCAAAATTAAATACAAAGCAGCAACACTGTAAGGTGCTGAAACAGTTTTCACTCTGCTGCACTCACAGAACAAACATATTTCACAYGTAATCTTTAATAAGAGGAGTCCTTTAAATGGCATTCATGAACAGAACAACACAACCAGATTTTAACTTCTTCCTACAATTTCAGAACAACAAGCAATTTTCAGCATTTCCTCAGCTGTATCTGACATGATAGGAATGTAGACAAGATGAATTTCTCAGAAACTGAAGAGCAAAAGGTACACTGAATAGAACAATTACATAATTTACTGTGTGATAGCTAGAAATTAGAGAAAAACATTAGTCCTTAGAACAGGAAGATCAGAACTAGTTAAGGACTTCAGAACAGGAATTGCAACTCTGACCTCACATCAGTACACAACAGCTCAGGAAAAAGCTTTCACATGAAAAAGACAACCTTTGGCAGCAACGTATTGCTTTAAGCAGTTGAAAAGAATGGAGTAATGGAACAGTGCAAAATTAAAACTAATTGCAAATAAAAACCCAAGCTAAACAAAAAAATAACTGTCCCAGCAGCTTTTCATAAGAGTAGTTTTAAAAACATCTTTTCTCCCTTAAGCAAAATATGGTGAAAGCAGAAGATCTGTTTGTATCCAAGTATTACTTGTCTGTTTTCCAGAAAAACTAAGCCTTTACAGAGTGCAGTGGACTAAGTTTTTAGGGATTGGGACTGTTCTTGGTCTGCATACTTACAGTAAAGAAGAAACTGAGGGCAGTCCTTAACCAGGATGTCAGGGCAATAAGTGATAGTGGATCATTGGTGTGCAGACAGTGAATACAAACAGGCAAGAAGCAGCCACGTTAACATACCTCTTGTACTGAGCGAGCTGCTGGCTTGTCTTGGTGATTRGCCAGTATTAGAAACGGCAAAGTACATAACTGTGGGTGCTGGAGAGCAGAATGCAGTTCATTCCTAGCAGTTTCTAGATCATCTTCAGAGGAGGCGCTGTCTAATACAAATATTACCCCTTGGGATCCTTGGTAGTAACGACTCCAGTATTTCCTGATATTGTCAGCTCCTTTCAAGACAATAATGAGAACTAATTAAAACAAGAATAATTTAACAAATTTAAGACTTGTAAATGAAAATAAACCATCTACTTAGAATGATCAAAACAACTAAATTTTCTCACCTAACTATCATTAAAAGAATAAAAAGAAAAAAAAATCAAAAATCCAACACACACACACACACACACATCTCAAATCAACACAGTTCAAATGAGGAAGGAAGTTGACACAATGCAGCTTTCCTTCCTTAAAGCTTCTGCTCTTTTAATGAGTACTGGCAGAACTACCAAGCTTGCAGTACCACACAGCCTAATCCTTTACCTTCTCATTGGCATATCTTGGCACTAATACCTAAACCTTTACCCATTCTTTTTCACTTTGCCCTGCAGCTCCTTGTCATAACCTGCAGCTTCTGTCATGGCAGTTGCTCATTTCTGAGCATGATAAGGTCTTCCAGTTCATCTCCAAACCATCAGGCAATCACTTCATAATTGGGAAAAAAAGGTGTCAGGAAAGCCTATTAAAGTAATTAGATACTTAATGAGGGGAATGATGATACAATAGTGAGTTGAACAGTGAATGAGAAGCTTTGGTGACAACATGCAAAGGCATTCAGTTCAACTACTTTTGCTCTRTCAACCACAGTAAGGATTCTGGAAGAGCCCAACAGTAGACACATGAGTGACTGTATAGGCTTATATGCCACAGTAATTTTTAGGACACAGTTCAGCAGCACTCAGCCATCTCAACAGAAGCCAAGCACTAAGGTTATCAACAGAAAGCTTTTGTCTCCCCTGGAGAGCAGCATATGCTGTAGCAATGAGGTAGGAAAAAAAAAATTGTATTTGACAGCTGTCAAACTATCTAAACTATGATTTGGATATGGGCTATTCTTCGTATGTCTGGATCTGGCACTACACTCATGGGGATGAACACTAAACAGTGAACAGCAGCAGCAATAGTCTAGTAGAAAACTTGACATGTCTGCCAGACAGTGACTTGCAGAAATGAGCTGAAGGTACCCTTTATACACATTTTTCTTATTTTGAGACAGGGAGAAGTGAACTTCCATATACACAAAAAAACACCCAAAAGAGCTCAAAATAATAAAACTATTTTTCAGTGAAACAAAATTATACAAAATTTCTSACCAACATAATAGATTTCAATGTAACATAATGTCCATAACATTGATACAATAATAAAAATATTAACTTTATTTCCACATTGTGCAACAAAAAAGACAGTCACTAAACAAAAGTGAAGAAATAAACATTTGCACCATTTAATTTGCAACTCAAGAGTATTCAAATCTTGCCTAAAAGAGTCATTCCTGTCTTTTTACCAGTCACACTGGAAGTCCCAATGCTTTGTTTCTGTATCTGCACGAAGCACAAACACTGTCAATACACACACACACACTTTTTCCTACAAAGAATACTGAAGTCATACCTATTTTTTTTTTCTGCAAGAGACCTACAGAGCTCCCTACTTAAGGACAAACGGTCACAGGACTTAGTCAAGACCTTGCTTAATCTCTCTTTTAATTTTACCAGATTCAAAATAACAAAGAAGAAATAGGACAGATGCTTATTTATTTTATCATCAGCATCTGAAGATTAATATTACACATATAGAAGAGGGATTGCATTGAAAGCTATTTCTATGGCTCTGTAGCACATGAATATTCTGTCAACTGTACTTGCAAAGAATTTTATAGCATCTGTTGGATGTCCCAGTCTCTCTGAACAGCTGTCTACTTCAGAACCAAGAAGAGCAAGTTGCCAGAGGGACACTATTTACATAGCCACACACAGCAGTGTTGCAGGCATCTGAAGTATCACATTACTTTAAAAACTAGTAGAGAATCATTTTCAATGAACTTAAAGGCCAAGACCATGATCAGTTCTTTGAAGTTATTTTTTTTTTCTTAGCAACATAGCATCTGTCTTATTTACTCTAAGCATCAGTCAGCTACTTTTCAATCACATGTCATTGCCAGAACCTGAATCTTATCTTTGTAACCATACTCACTCTAAACAGAAAAACTATGTGGTGAACTGCAGAGCGTTTGACCTCTTGTATCCAGGCACATGGAAAAAAGCAGCTCTTGGATCTCAACATGGGACATTGAACCCAGAAAAGGAATATGCTGATTTGCTGACCTTATGGTCCTGACTTTTTGTTTTAGGTTCTTTAGCAGCTCAACTTTGTTTCTCCATGACAATTGTCCCTAAAGAAACACCACCAAAGTATAGCAATTCCTTTTCTCTCCAGCCCAGACAGTCGCCATGGCATAGTTATAAGAACCAACTTACAAGGTCCCATGAAACTTAGTATTTTCTTTGGGATCTTCCATTACTCTAAAGACTTGCTCTGAAATTGCTTATACTTYAATTCTGAGAAAGTCACAGCCTGAGATTTAAGAATAAAAATAATTTGTACTAAGCAGACAAGAAAAAAGACTGATAAAGCATGTACCTCAGGGTGCCATTTCAAACCATTTTTCTGGCAAATGCACTCGAAAAATAATTCTTGGCATCAATAAACTATCAGCAGCTGGAAGTCACAATTTCTGCAAGACKAATAACCTGATATTCTTTTGCCTTAACTCTTCATATGCAGCGAGCAGAATCTGCTCTCACCTTCTTTCGTCAGAGCTGTGGAGTTATACTGTGCAATAAACACTTGTTTATGAATAATGTTACAGCCATCATCACTTTGTGGCATGACAAATTCAGCCTAAGAAAGCAAGCAGTTGGTTTTTTAGGCAAACTTTAGCACCACTGCCCTATTAATTGATTTTTTCATCTATTCCAAAGGTTTCAAAGACAGAAAGATTCAAAGTCTGAGTACTTCGGAAATTCAGAGGATAATGTGTATCTGTTAAATCCTCCTTAGGCTCTCTGAAGACTGATGTGATAAAAGTGGGATTTAACTTAACTAGTACCCAAAGCATCTTATCAAACAATAGCAACACACAGGATAAGCACTCAGGTTTGTCAGCCTGCTATCATGTTTTTCTCTCACAGCTTTGAACCATATAACTGCTTCTTCAACCAATAAACTGCCTAAACTGAGATTGAAACAAAACAAAAATAAACAATTTTTTAAAAAAATCTCCAAAACCTCAGAAAAACATAATTCCCATTACACCTAAGGAGCATGCTATGTGACAGGTTCACAAAAATGTGACACTCAGGGTAGCAGCTTCCTCAAACACGAGGAGGAGCCATAACTTGTGGCTGAGCATTTGCTTCCCTCAGCATGAATGAACTTAGAGGAGGGGGTTGATGTGATGTGACTAAAACATTCAATTTACAAATAAACTAGGGGGAAAAACCCAACAAAACCCACCCTAGAACACAATCACACCACTTTTTATAGAAGAAAAAATAGTATTCAATCAAACATAGGCTTGAATTACATTACAAAAAGAAAAAAAAACAAACTCTCCTTACAGAAAAATGACAGGATGATGCAATTAAAAACCCCAATCATTTAGCATTATTACAAGGCAGGTTTACACAACTAACAGTAATTTTAAAGACCTCAATTTTAATTTTTTTAATCAACCAAATATTTTTTTCTTTATTATCAGTCAAAGGAACAGTGTGCCTATATTAAGAACACCATTAATTATTTGTATCAGTGCCAACAGTACCCACTGGGAGCTGGGAGGAAGATTTTGAGTTATTTGCACTTTAAAATGCACCCAAGCCAGTAAATACAAGTACACATTCTTGTAAATATTATACAAAACACAGAGCTGTAAATCTTCCTTTCAACTGCAAATACTTCCATTTACATCTTCACATTGGTTTGAGGCTACTTTCTATTCCCTCCTTTTCAGTACTTTCGGGAGAACAGAACATAGCATTACAGAAAAAAAATACATAGAAAGAAATTTACATGTGTCAAATTTGTTACATGTCAGAATTGCAGCAAATCTCCATTGAGAAAACAATAAATGTCATGGAGCCTTGCTTCAACAAAATGAATGTTCTTGTATACCTCAAAATGCATCAGAGGTCTGGAGAAGTTATGGTCTCAAATAGAGGGAATAACTTCTTTTCTGTCCCATCAAAAACAGTTAACTTGGGGACATGGAAGAATGCAGGCTGCAGACAGCTTTTCTACTACTTCAAATATATAATCCACTCACATAAAATGAGGACACCTACATATTTTGAAGGTTTTACAGTTAATTAAAATATTATATAGATAATTCCTCTACTGACATTAAATGGAACTTGCCCAAGTTCCATTTCTAACATGCATAAAGGTGAAAAAATGCCAAGGACCATGCTACAAAATCTTTTTGCATGAAACACAGGGTCATGAGTAAGGGAGTAAAAAAGAAGGGAAGGGAAAAAGAAATGTCTTATCTATTCTTGCAGAATCTTTAAATTCACATTACTCTCTCACTCCAAGAAAACCTTAGGAAAAGAAATGTTTCTAAATCTATGTAGGGTTTCTAACTGCACTTCTGATCTTACCCTTATAAGTTAAACTGATGCATTTTCCTGAGTAATCAAGAAAATGCCTGAAATCTTAGAAATCTCAATGCATTCAAGAGATGTGGCTGCTCCTTATCTGTCTTGGGCAAGTTTCCCAGCATTCCACCCTTAAATAAATACTGTACACAGATGATTTTTTTTTAATGTGTCTTTTATTACAAATAAATTTATAAATCCCATTTAAGATGCCTGCTATGAATGTGCATATAATTTATCCCATCTGACGGACACATCCACAGAGATACAGAGGTTTTCCATGTCAGTCACCATTCTATGACTACTTTGTATGGCAACTGCGACAACACAAATGCTAAACCAAAACCTACTTGATATTCAGAAGTCCCAGGACTTCTGCTTCCCAAGGTCTAAGACCACAGAAGTGATCACAGCCTGCTTCTAGGCTTTCAGACAGTGCATTCCTGCAATACAGGAAACATGGCAGCAGGAAACTGGCACTTTTTCCCCAAAAACAGGAACATTTGGAGATT